TAACAACAACTACAACAAAAAGCTGTAGTAGCAGTGTAGGTGTGGGTGACCTCAGGAGTGCAACTACTCTGCAAACACTCCATATGGTGTCTGTAGACCAGCCCACAGCGCTTCACACCCATCTCCCTCAGTTTAATAAATGTAATGTACCTGTACCTATGAGTGTAGGTGAATTAATGCATTTTTTTAGAGAGATGGGTGTTGCCTTATAGTTAGAGCCATGTAGAAGGTTTGCTGCTCTTGGTTACAGTTTTTCTACCTGGACACGTGATCTCAGTGGACTGCCCCTTCCTCTTGCCTGGGTGTTTCTTGCCCTGTCCTGGCACCTCTCTGGTGGGACTTCTCCCACCTTGTACCACTCATTACTCACCAAAGCTGTCTCCCAGAAGTTGCAGCATTATTTTTTTATGTTTCCGATTTTAAGCATGTGTTTTTATCTTAGACAGCTAAGTGCTCCAAGCCCAAGCTTAGGGCAGTGCCAGAGTCCAGGCTCCGGCGCTGGTATGTCCATCTATAACATTGGCACCAGCCAACCAAGCAGCAGTACTGCCTGGTCGTTTTCCTGCGGTGCATACTGTATCCATTTTTATAGTTTCTTTTATACTTTTTATAACAGCAATAATGTCATTCAGATAATTATGCCATAATTGACCTTAGTGTTGAGCATCCTTGGCTTTTACTGCAGTTTGCTTAATACTTCAGGACGGTCAATTATCTCATAATTCCCACTTTGTTGGGAATTATTGTTTTAATTATTACACTCCAAATACATAATTTTGGCATAGTAGTAAGGGTACGCTGGGGAACGGTCATATTTGTGAGTGCTATAAAGAGTTACCAGCTTTATCATGTGGGAGAGCTTTTCATCCTGTCATCTCTAGTCATTACTTTCAACACTGATTTCATTTAATTATCACTTAGTCTGCTCAGGCCAGGTCTTCATCTGCAGGAGCTGACTTATGGGGAATTGGGGCTTGAAGGATTTGAGAGCAATTGGATGACTGTGCAATCTGACCACATTGATTTCTTTTCTGGCATGTTACAGTGTGAGTCATCTCTGTTAATGCAAGTAACTTCCAGTGGAAGTTGGAAGTAAAACAGTGATTTTTTTTTCTTTTTGTAGCAATTTGAAGTATTAGTTATCTCAGATAGACCTCGAGGTGAGGTGAGATTTTTATGGCTGTGTAAGAGGCTTGTGTGGCTCTCTGTGTTCATTTAATTTATGCCTGTGTAGCACTGGTACTTCCATGAGGAGCTGCGCCCTGCCAGTGTTGGAGAGAAAACAGTGATCCTTGTGGTGGGAGATCTTTTTTGTTAGCACAGTGCTCAGCACTGCCCGAAACAGAGGCTGAAGCATAGCATGTCATGCTGTACAGTACTAGTACAAAAGATACTGTGGGTCTAGCACTAGAAACACACTGTTCTACTTCTTAAGCAAATTATGCAAATAAGGCAACGTGCTCAGCCTTTCTATAAATGTGAATGTTCAGTTGTTTTTTTTGTCAGCATTTTAAGGTGTCTTTAACATGAATGAAAATTCTCCCTAAGCAGAATATGAAAAACTGGTACATTTTGCTAAAACAGAAACTAAATATAACCTACTTTCACCAAAGAGTATGTTTTCTTATGTCGGATGTAATTATTATATGTGAGCAAACTCACTGTTGGTTAGTGAGAAAATGTTTCTCTGTAGTAGATTAACACATTTTATTGAAGAAAACAGCACTGTGAAAAGACTTTATTTCTCTAGAAATCTTAATAGTTACTAAAATGAGGACTCTGGCCCATTAAGTTACAGCCTGCCAAGTCAGAATGCTGAATCGCTTAATTTATCTAAGTAGCTCTCCTATTCTAGCTTCTTAAAGGCAGCTGTTAGGAGAGCACCAATGTTTTAATCAAGGAGCAGGGTGGAGTTTGACAGCCCAAAATTGTGCTTCGATGGAGGTTTCCTTGCACAGTCTGCAAATATAAGGACCTCTCTTGAAGTATGTAGATTTGCACACTCAGGAACCAAGGCATGGGATTATATATAGGAATCTGATGTCAGTGGAAACTGTAAGGGCATTGTTACATCCCAGAATTTCTCACAGAAGATAGATCCTGGCAACTGTTTATAGGCTGAAAAGCTATTGTAAACAAGATTGGGAACTCAAGATGAGTAATAATGTTCTCCCTTGCACCCTGAAAATAGTAGACGTTAGGTCCATAGGAAGATCTAGACCATAGCTCATTGGCTAGATACATGACATATCTTTATTACTTAGTGTAAAAGATAAGTTTAGATCTGTGAACGCCAGTACTAGAGATCCCATGAAGTCAAGAGATCTTTATGTGGAAGGTATATTACATGCTGAAGGGAAGGGAAGCTGCTACTGCAGGGATATTGATTGACTGGCTCCATGCAAAGGAAGGGGTTAGACAGTTTTAAAAGTGAGAATGTTTAGATTTGTTCTCTTGTAATTGACTCCTGAGGCAAAATAATGTTAGTCCTAAACTGGCCAAATCTCACTCTGGCAAGTGAGATTCTGCATGCTGTCAGTAGATGAGTTGTCTCTGTTTTTCTGCTAATGTCAGGTGAGATACCGCAGCCAGATATTTTCATACGGGTATCAGATCTGATCCATCTTTGAAGCAATAAAACCACTAAGCAGTGTGCATTGTCCCAGTGCCCAATGTGGTGCTCATCCTTTATGTGCTAGTGATAATTAGCTACTTTATCATTCTAGTAGGGAGCTTTAATTTATTATTTTATTAAGCAGTGAAATCAAAGATTAAAATGGTATCTATAGCACATAGCTAACTAGATTGTGAAAAATGAAAGTAAATGGTTTCAAATTTATGAAAATAAATATTTCTATATAAGTGCAATAGTTTAATTCTTTAGACACCACTCTAATTTGTCATTTACTGATGATTATTTTTCTTCATTTTAAAGCAAATTGCTTTCTGTGGGGTGAAGTTGAGAAATAATGAATTGAATTCAAATTACAAGGTACTGCCTCCCAAATTGTAAATGAATATAAATGTAATAGGAGCATACTATTAAAATCTTTTGCACAAGACTATGCTATATCGTTGCAGTAAACAAATACATTTTTCAAGCCATAAGTTCATTTAATGTTGCATTTCTACTTGGCCTTTATTTTAAGGGCTCCTGTGCCTACTGCCACTACTGTCTCCAAATGTCTTAACATGTGTTGTCTCTTCAAAGCAAAAAATAACATTGTTAGTTTTTGTCATTTACTATAACAGTTGATTAATGATCTGATTTAAAGCTGAATCAGTGAATGTATTATAAAATGTATTTGCTCAGGACAGGAAATCCTTGTCTACCTATTTTATACTGTCAGGGAGAAGGAGAGAGAGAGGGAGGCAGGCAGGCAGGCAAATGGGCAAGGCACAGGCTGTATTCAGCACTAGCTTTGTTCTAAAATTCTTATTTCCATTCAGTGTACTTAGAGGGTAATTTCTGATTACAAATCCAAAAGATGGAAGATTTTTGCAAATTCCACCACTTGTTAATCTGCGCTGCTGTTGACAAGAATTGGGAATCTTAGAGAAATGGAGAGGAGTGTCCCAGAAGGGAGAAATGTTCTCTCATGTGACTTGCGCAACAACCATAGTTTAGCATCTGTGGTTAAGTGTTCTTAATCCTTACCAGAAGTTTATTGTGTAATAAGTTAAGGAAAGGACAACATTCAGAGTAGCAATGGAGTAGGAGTTGCACAATGTAAATGCTAATTTTTTTATTTGTGTTCATGGTAGTAGCTATAAAATAAACCTAGAGACATGTGCACTGAAAACCCCAAAACCAAATTGCTGTGTTGTACAGTTTTATGCAGAACAGCAGTTGTCCATAGTGTGTGAAGGAAGAACCCCAAAACTAGTGTTTCTGGATGTATAGGAGGATCTGAAATCCAGCAGTAAGGACTTCTTTGATTGTTGTTCCTCCCACCCTCCTATGTAAGGAGGACAGAGAGGTAAAAACAGTCAGCAGGGTTTCAACTGAGAATTACTTTCATCTTAATTCCTCTCAGCTCCAATTCTGCAAAATGCTTGAACACATCCTTATTTATGTACATTCAATCATTGACTTCAGTGTGAGATAAAGTTTAGCACATGCTTGAATGTTTTCTTGAACTAGGGCCAAAGCTGCCACTGCTGCTAAAATCAGTCCTAAAGGGAACTTTGCATCTTTGATTACTTCCTTTTTTTGTATATCAAGGTAGAGGCTCCACCAAACTCGGAAAGTATGGTAGCTGTTGGTAAATGTCGTCTGCCTTGTTTAAAGGAATAGAGCAGAATTGTTGGGTGGCAGTGCATAAAGTACATATTATCTTCTTTTATCTCCTGTACATGTGTTCTTTAATGATAGTTACTAAGTGAGGGCTGCAGAATGGCAAGAGACTCACTAAGCAACTGTCTTGTGTTTCTGTCTACTACAGGCACAGCCTTTAATTGTAAAAGGTGTCAAAATAAAATGAGTTTAGGTGTTTTCCCCTGTTCTTTCCTGCTTCAAGGCTGTTCAGAAGCTTGCTTCTTCATTTGCTAGAAATCCTCATTCAAACATTTGCTGAAGTGTGACTTTCCTTGAGGCACTTTGTTCTTCTTGTTTTACACTGGCAAACACACCCACCCACTCCCTTTTGGGAATATTGGTTTAACCCTGCATATTTGTAGAGGAAACAAGCCAAAACCCAGCCAATGCACAGTATTCATAACATGGTCCAAAGTAGCTCTACATTCATCCCATTGACTCTGCAGATAGCAACTGTGATCCATCAGCTGATCACCTTTATCTGTCTCTTGCGATGCATTGTGCACTTTTAATACAAGACACTTGCTAGGCAGCTAGCACTGATTAAAACCCAAAGTACTGTCTGTGAGAACAGCTCCAAATCATGTTATCGGATTAAGTTGTGTTGAGGGGTAGTAACAAATGAACCACTGTTTTGAATGAGCATCTAATGATTTTTTCTTCATCTCTTTTCTGACTGCAGAGCTCTTCTGTATCTCCCTCAGCCAGTTTCAGAACAGCAGAAAAGCACAGAAATTCAACAGATTATTCTACAGATAGTAAAAAACAGAAAACAGAAGAGAAGGAAATAGCCGCTCGTTACGTGAGTAAATTGTCTACATTGTGTGTTGTTGAACTTAAATACTCCTCTGTAATTTTACCTGATTCTTGCTGCATAACTAATTTTAAAATTGAAGGTAAAATTTTTAACAGGTTCTTACTGCCTGCCCTTAACATCTATGCCTGGTGGAAGGTTTCAGTGCGTAGGATTGATAGAGTTTTTAACAATACAAATACAGAGCACCTGGAAGGCGTGCGGCAAGAGGCCTGAGCGTTAGTTACGCTGAAGATTTGGTAGATCGGGACTCTGTCTTGGCTCCACTTCTCAGTGCAGTGCAACTTTGAGTGAGGATTTTCATCCTGCATCCTTGTTCACCAGTGTGAAAATGGGGAGGAATGCTGTAGCTGTGGCAGCCCACTAAGCAGAAGCTCTATAGGTGACCTAAATGTTATAATTGTATTACCACATAAAGCTTAATAAAAAAAAAATGCTATGTTGTGTAGTTGTGAGCAGCCTTGCATTTCATTAGTTTATTTTTCTTAGTATTTAAAAGACGTCGGGATATTAAATGAATGTTTTTAACACATTGTGGTTTGTCACTGTAGGACAGTGATGGTGAAAAGAGCGATGACAACTTGGTAGTTGATGTTTCCAATGAGGTATGTATACACAATAGTGATTTTTCTACCTTACACTGGTGGTGGTGGGGTTGTCTTCTTCAGTGGTTTCTGTGCATATTGGGTATGTGAATAAGATTACAGCCTTTGCCTCTGTAAAGGAGCTTGAAATGCCTGAGGTCTGCTTGGGATATTTGAAGCCAACATAGCACAGCAGATAGGATGCAACGTGCAACTGTATCTGTGTTTTTTTTCACTCTGGCCATGCTGTGCTATGCTGGCTTCAAATATCTCAAGCAGACCTTTGGTTCATACAAGAAACAAAAAGGTTGTTTGCAGAAATAAGTGTTACAGATCTGATCTGCATTCTAAAGAAAGATGACCTGACTGTATTCCCTCAGGAATTTCAGTTGAGACATTCTTCAAAAGTCAAAAAAGTTGTCCTTCATTATCCATCTAGACTTTACAGTTTTTTTGGCTATATAAATTAAGAACTGAAGAATGATGTCACTTTTTATGACGTATCATCAGTACAAAGTGAGAATTGCTCAAGACAAACACAAGTGGCTAGTATGAAATTTTTATGCTAACCCACGTTGCTGATGTTTAGGATCCTTCCTCTCCGCGGGGGAGCCCAGCACACTCTCCACGGGAGAATGGCTTGGACAAGACTCGACTGCTGAAGAAAGATGCACCAATTAGTCCAGCGTCCATTGCGTCCTCCAGCAGTACTCCTTCCTCCAAATCCAAAGAACTTAGCCTTGTAAGTGTTTCAAAATGTTCCTGACCCATGACCATATGCTGAAACATATGCTTACTGGATTTTTGTCTGGACACAATTTGGTTTTCCACAGCTATCAGTAAAGCACTATGAAACATCAATTTTAAAATAATTTAATTTGTTTCTTCAAGGGAATTTAATAAAAGAGTAAGGAGAAAGTCCACAGTCTTTTTCCGGGATAGGAAGAGGTTATTTTCACTGGTGGTGTGGGCAGATGATAAATGTGCTGTGCTGAGAGATGGTTTTCTCCTCCCCCATATGAAAAACTGTCATTCTGAGAACAAATAGAAGTACACAGGGGTTTCTTGAGCTGTTTTCCTGTGCTGTGGTTTATAGCAAATTCAGTTCCCTGCTTGGATGGGATTTGGTTGTTAGCTTTGTTTGAATTACCACGCCATATACAACAACAATAATTTTTATTTTCTATCTAAAAAGTAATCTGTCATTTACAAGAGCCTTCCTTGGCTTGCATCACAAATCACAATGCAAGAGAAAGAGCTGCCTACAAGTCAGAGGTGTTCTTTCCTTTCCTGTTTGTGACCACGGTTAATCACCTTCCTGAGCTGCACAGTAACTCCCCTCTCAGTTCTTCACGGGTCAGGATACGCGATTATTTAAAGAAGTAAAATAAATAAAAAGAAAGCTTAAAGGGAATGTAGTTCTCAGGAAAGGTGATGGAATGACAAGTTCAGGCCCGGGAGTCAGTGGTTTGTCTGATGAACAAGCTTGTCACAAGAGCGGCAGTGCACAGTTCCTGACTCTACACCCATCACTGTCTCCATCCTGTGTTTCCAGCATCACATTTGGGCATGAGTTGTTGGTCGGTTGTGGGGATTTTTTTCTGCTCGTTTTGTCCACTTGGCAGTGGCCTCTCACAGATACTCATAACTGTAGTGGGAGCACGTCCACCATGAGCAGAGTGAGACCACTGATAGATTTCACATATGCTGCAAATGTAATTGTCAGATGGCAGTGATTTTCAGTCGTTGACTTCATTCTGAATCATACAGTTGCCTCCAATGAGGAAAGCTGTGAAGGTTGTTGTTAATTCCCAAAGCCATTCTGTCTTTTTCAGGATCTGTGCAGCTTCTCTTCATTGCCAGGCACTGGTGAAACCCAAACCCAAAAGCTAAATGTCACTAATCATACACACTCTGGTTGCTGTCAACTGTCTTTCCAACCACTAACTAAAAAAGTAAAATAATAACTTACTGTCTTCTTTTTTTCTTTTTGGTAATTAGAATGAGAAGTCTACTACTCCTGTGTCTAAATCAAACACCCCAACTCCACGGACTGATGCCCCAACTCCAGGCAGCAACTCTACTCCTGGACTAAGGCCAGTACCTGGCAAGCCCCCAGGTGTGGACCCACTAGGTTAGTGTCTGTGTATTTCAGTGGTGTGAAACAGTGGCCATTTGTCCCTAACCAGGCTCCCATTAATCTACAGTGATGAGGCAGTATATTACAGCTGCTTAAACTGGATGCTGAGCTGGTTCTTAAGCATTTTAATACACCACATATATATGTATATATATTATTGTTTGTTCAACTCATATTTGATCTGATGGATCTGGGCTGGCTGTGTGACTTTTCTCTTTTTTTCTCCTCAATAGCTTCAGGTTTAAGGACACCTATGGCAGTGCCATGTCCTTATCCTACTCCATTTGGGATTGTGCCCCATGCTGGTATGAATGGGGAGCTGACCAGCCCTGGAGCTGCCTATGCCGGTCTACACAATATTTCCCCTCAAATGAGTGCAGCAGCTGCAGCAGCAGCAGCAGCAGCAGCTTATGGGAGATCTCCAGTGGTAAGTGTCGGCTGCTGGTGTGTTCAGCGTTGAGAGCAGTTTATATTAAATGTAAGACCTGCAGTGTTACATCAAGTTCAATCTGTAGTTTGGGGAGTATGCTATGGAGAACATGAATTAAACAGTCTTCCTTTCCCTAATTCCATCTTTAATACACCTCTTTGTTTTGCCTGGGGAAAACTGTAGGTTGGTTTTGATCCACATCATCACATGCGAGTCCCAGGCATCCCTCCCAATCTCACAGGCATCCCAGGAGGAAAACCGTAAGTATCAAACATTCAACTTTAAAAGTCAAATCAGCTGTTGAAGTTGTGTTTCCTTGCTGGCTGGAATTACCCTTAGCTACTGAAAACTGTTGTGCGAATAGAAATAAATACAGTTATTTGAGAAGGGCAGGAGAAACACTGTTTAATCTTAAAGTTGCATTTGTAAATTTTTTTTGAAGACGAATAGCAGCCAACAAGGACTGGATGATACAGAGTAAAGGGGACAGAAATAGATGGAAAAAGGAGCTGAACTTTGAGGTGTTACATGCTGAATCTGACTGGTTGGTCTTATATGAAAATGCAAACTGGGGCAGGACCTCAGCTTTCCATCTTTACTGTACTCTGTTTCTCAGTGTAAAAAAAAATATTTCTTTGTTTACGAGCCTTGCAATTACTTGCAAACTTATCAGATGCTACTGGAAAGAATTATTGTATCATAATGTTCAAATTCATCCTTGATGGAACTGACCGTAAAAGGTGACCTGCTCTACCACGCTTTGCTTGTTCTCAGCCTCAGAAAAAGAATTACACAGATATGAAGAACTCTCTGCTCACATCCCTCTTGAGTTAGAGAGTAGGGAAAAATAAAACAGCAGTGCTAACCATATTGATCCACCTATTATGTAAGGGTTCTCCAGTTCCACTTCTTGCTTGACACTTGTGGAAAACTGTGACCAGCTAATACTGGAGAGTTTGAAGGGCAGGGGATGTTTGTGCCGTTCCTTCTCTCACTTTTGTATGTATGAAGATGTTTGTGGAGGAGTGGTTGAGGTATAGTCACACACCTGCATGCCTGTGAGTAAATGCATACACTTACCTACCAGTGAGCTTGCAGACACGCAGGATTAATAACATATCATGGTTACAAGCTATTAGTCCCTAGTGCCTGCAACTCCTCTTGTACATATGTGTCACACAAATCATAAACCATGTCCAGCTCTCTCAGATGTCACACACATTACCACCTCAAGTTAACTTTTCTGCACTGCCCTATTAGGTGGCTGATTAAGATGAGTATGGAAATTGGTGTGCAGCAGCTTCTGAACCAGCTTACATTAAAAGTTCTGTGAGGAACAGATCTTCATCCAACACATGCAGCGGGTACTTAGAAATGCCTTCTTGTAATGCTCAATAGTTTGCTGCATTCAGGTTCATCTTTGGTGGAGTGGCTCACCCAGAAAGAAGGGTGACCAGCTCTACCACTCTTTGATTGCTGTGGTCTGAGAATTGGCAATGCCAGGGATGTGGAGACCTCCCTGCTCACATCAAACTTGTGTTAGAGATGGAGGGAATAAAACATGAAGTAAACTGAAGTCAAACCTGTTCAATTCTGGTGCATCTCCAAGGTTTTTGGATGTTGTTGTCATATTGATGACTGTTTTAAACATTTAAATGTGACTGTCATTTGTCAGGGCCTGAAAACTTTGAAATCTGTGGTGGTTTTAGCATGATTGCTTTTTTGTTTTCTTCATGTTGAGTGCAGTACTTTTCACAGCTATCATTCTGGATTGTTGCTTTCTCATTTACTCTTCCTTTTCCCTTAGAGCAAAAGCTGTGCAAATTCTCTGCAGTGTTAAGCGTCTGTTGAAATGAAGCGGGCAGCGTGTGGTGCATTGGGGATCTGCCCTCTAATAACTTTCTTTTCACTTTGGAGATATATCAAAATGCTGAGCATTGTACAATAATATAAATAGAAAAGGTTGCTAATGTGGAAAGAAGAAAAAAGTGTTCACCAAGTCTTTATAGTGTCAGATATTTGTAAGATGTTTATAGCACTGCAAATACACAATATGCAGTGTTAGTTCTCGGAGTGAAAAAAAACCCCAGCCACTCAACCACCACAAAACAAATCCAAGAACAAAGCAAAAGTTTAATCACACATGCTGGTATGGAGTAATGAATAGAGTTAGAATAACATAGTTACAGATCACTTCAGATCTAAGGTTTATTTCTGTAGTGGTTAGATATATTACAGAGAATCACAGAATATTAGGA